AGCGCCAGGGGCTGCAACAACATTGTTGTTCGAGCTTACAACAGCATTGTTGGAGTTCGCCACCACCGCCGACGGAACGCTGACCGGAACTGGAATGAGCTGCGGCACCTCGACGGGAACGGGAACCGGAATAGCGATCTTCTTGACTTTCTTGACGACTTTCTTGACGTGGTGGTGGTGGTGATCCTTTCTGCTCTCATCGTCTTCCGTTGCTTGGGTATCAGCATTGACTCGTAGACCACGAAGCGAAGGTGTAGCTTGAACTTCGTCCGATGCAACGAAGAGACTCAGCGCTAGGAAGGTGGCGAATGCGGCGGCAGTCTTCATGGTGAGAAAGGATCGAGTAATTGCGACCTGAGTGTCGAGAAGGGAGGCGGTTGGTTTGTTGCTCGCGAAATGGAGAATGAAAAACGAAGCGGTTGCAATGGCATCACGCGTCACGACATTCGGCAAAGTCGTGAGAGGGGGAACACGACCGATATTCTTGCTACGTTCGATTCCTCTCAGTCGAAGCGACTAGATTCTGCTGATGGAGAATAACTATGTAGGTCAAATGTTCGTAAAGCCATCACCTTCCTTCGACCCATATCACTTCAGTGGTAACATACCAACTTGAACACGGTACGACGTGTGCTGCTTTGAAATAATTGAATAGCAGCTTCACATTGAAACCCAGCGCACTTGTCAACTGGTTATATGGCATCTTCTCATCTATCTAACCTGTAAATGTCTAGAAGACGAGGTTCAGGTGTGCATTTGGCGCGAGGCAGTCGGCTTCGAGTCCTTTGAGTAACTTGACGTCCACACCGGCGTCCTGAAGCAGCTGTACCCCCTCGCAGACCACGAACGTCTTGGGCTCCATTACCCCAATAACCACACGCGTGACACCTGCACGAAGGCAGCTCTGCACACACGGCACGTTTCCAGACACCCTTTTGCTGCATGGTTCCATGGTCGTGTAAACGGTGGTCCCCTGCGCGTCAAAGTTGAGCTTGTGTAGCGCCACCTGCTCCGCGTGCGTGTTGCCCGGTAGCTCGCGCGAGAAGCCGGTGCTCAGCACCTGTCCATCGTGTACTACGACACATCCCACGCAGTAGGCATTCTCGGACGGCTGCGAGCGATGCGCCTCTGCGATGGCCAGGCGCATGAACGCCACATCCGATTCGTCCTGTAGATCCACCATATTTCCTCGCGAAATAGATGTCAAAATCAACTTTTTTTAATTTTTTCGTACAAATATTTCGCAACATTTCGCTTTCAGCCCAAAACTTTGCAAGAAGACACCCTTATTGCTGGCAAGAAAGAATATGTACTTCTAGAGAAAACGCCGTGCAAATCTGGCGGTTTCTATTCAAATCGCCGTGCAAAATGCACGGTGAATTCCCAACATGCAAAAATGGCGGGTATACAAAAGTCTAGTATAAGCGTTGACATGCAAAGATGTACTAGAAATCGCCGTGCAGTTTGCACTATAATAATTTTGAACGACAAACAAACAATGCAACTGGATAAAAG